CACAGATTCATACAAAGCACACATACATTCACTACACTTCCATCGGCCGGGCAGATCCTGGTGAACCGTCTCCGCTCCAGAAGCAGGTAAGTGCCTTTCCCTTACCGGTCTTTCCCCCTTATTGTTTATTTTAATTAGAGACCATCCACTTTGGCCTTAAAGGCCCGACCTGCATTTGCCTGCAGGTTCTTCATACTATGGGCCCGGGAGGATCATACTATTAGATAGGCAGCTGCACGCCGTAACATTTGGTAGCAGTAGCGTGGCTGATTGTGTCTACAATCACGCCCGGCCGTAATACGTAAAATTAATATAATATAATTAATATTAATATAAATAATAATTCTTTTCTTTTGTTGCTTTGTTGCTCGCCTTTTTTTTTTGTTGTTAGTGGGTAGTTGCTAACACCACGCCCGTAGGTTAATAAGCGGGAATTTTGTTGAGGCGAAGTACTTTGATTAGGTAGATAAGGTTGTCACGTAATCGGATAATTTGTTGATCGTACTAGGGTTGTTACTTGCTAATTTGATTTGTGTTTTTTCGTGTTAACTTGTATTTAATTTAATAATTGTGTAATTTCTATTTAACTTGATTGATAGGAACTGTATTTGTTATTTTTGTTATTTGCTAATTTGAGCAGCGTAGTAATTGTATTTAGTAGGGATGCCGTCACATAAGCTACTAATTGGTTGCTTGCGGACTGAGCTGTGCTGGGCTACCAGCGCACACGCTTTGATAGGCCGACCGGATAGGGTTTATAATATGAGGAAGAGGCTCGAGCAGGTCGATGCTTGAAGGGCTGCCGTGGAGGAGGTTTACGCTGAGCTCGAGGACTCGGAGGTGGAAAAGGGAGTCTTGGACTCCTGCCGCGCGAACTACGAGCAGTTCCTCGCGCTCACGGACGACTTGATCGAGGAGGGGGCCAAGGACGCGGAGAAGGAGCGCGAAGCTCGGCTGAGTGGCCTGCTTGAGTCCCCTCGGAAGCCGCCCACTCAGCCAGAGCTGTTAGGATGACGCCCCACGCTGGACCTGCCAAGGTTCTCCGGGGTCCTCTCGGAATGGCTGACCTTCGTCGGTATGTTTGACAGCCTGGTGGACGCCCGGAGGAACTTGACCCCCTGCCAAAAAATGGGGTACCTCCTGGCATCACTGGAGGGGGAGGCCCTGGGCGTCGTCGGCCACCTTAAGTTGTCGGACGACGCCTACCAAAACGCCAGGGGCCTCCTCGCTGGAAGGTACGCCAACGTCCGGCGGATTGCTGACGAGCATGTTCGGAGGCTGCTGAACCTCCCGCTGCTGAGGGACCGGACCAGACTACGTGAGGACATAGTGAATCCAGTCGTCGTAGCGTGCAACTCGTTGCGGCGGCTTGGAGTCAGTGCTGTTGATTGATGTCACATGCCTTGTAATTATTGATTTTGGAATGTGTTGTTTGTTTCATAATTTGAATCACCAATTGAGCAATGGTTATGAAATACACAAAGAAATGTGTATCCCGAGGTAGTGGGCCACCATTGATCAATACACCTTTAAGAGATTAACATATATTTTTTCATGTTTCTTGTAGTTTACTACTTCATCTTTAGTGCAATCAAGAGTAAAACATTCAATTTCAGTAAACGCAGTGTTGGAGGTAGTTCAGCTTAATGATAATGTAGTTCCCGCTCTTTTTCCAGTAAGTACCGTATCTTTTATTTCGTTCTCTTCTGTTTAAAATATACAATATATAGTAGGCACAAGTTTTTGAAGATAAATGTATGCCCGAGCACTGGGCCACCGTCAAATATGCTTAATCAATGTTACATTTAAAACAGTTTGTATTATACAACTATATAAAACTATAAATCAAATGTTTTCTTTCAGCATATACCCAATGAATTTTGATGCTCCCATCTACACGGAACAGATGCAACCGACAAGTAAAATAGATTTATCTGAAAATATGTCTATGGATAGTATTTTCATTATTTATTTATAAGAAGATTGACCGATATATCAAAATAATGGCCCCAACGGTTTGAATCTTGAAAGAATCATGAGAGGAGGTTCTTAAAAAAATATATACATATATAAAACAATAATAAAATGTGTTCTACCAGCATATGCCAATGGATATAGATACTGAAAATCCCATCTACACAAAACAGTTGAAATCAACAAGTAATGTAAATTTAACAAGAAATACAGATGACATGTCCATAGTTAGTATTTTCATTCTTTATATACAGGATTACTGGATACTGGACAACTACCTGGCAGGGCATGATAGGGAGTCAAAATGCTACAAATTTGACCCCCCCCCCCCCCATATGTATGGCCGAAAATGAACAGGTCTTGAGACATACGGATTTAAGATTTTTCATTAATTACCCAGGATTTCGTATGAAATTCTAAATAAAAATGAAACCTTTTTCGTATGCTTTCTTATAAGTTCCTTTATTTTTTTGAAGCTTCAACCAAGCGAATACAATCATAAAAAGTACAAAAATATTCATAATAAAAAAAAAGTCTGAATAATTTTTTTTTATACTTCATGTATCATAAAATGTTACGTACTTCAAAAAATTACTATGACATGAGACATAAAAATATTTTAAAAAATATCTCCATTTAATCAACTATCCAAAAAATAATAATAATATCCCGATGAAGTCGGAAGTGAATAATAATAATAAAGGGGTCTTTTATTTAACGCAGGTAGACAACGGCAGAGAATGATTGCTCTAACTTCAATCAGTAGATCATTTTTTAATTCTCTTACGGGAGAGCAAAAAGTCCATTTAGTAAATTCTTTTTGTATCCAAATGGTGGAGAAAGTTACCGTAAACATAGTTGCACTTACTTGTGACAGGCCAGCAGCTAATTTTGCCATGTACCAGGAGCTTGTTTGCAAATCGCAAAAAGAACAAACAAAAACGATGTTAGAAAACGAAAATTTTCAGCTTTCATAGATCCCTGTCATGCCATTTAATTAATACGAAACGCATTTGGTGATTAAGGAGTAATAATAGATGATGAAGAAAATAAAATAGATTTAAACTATTTACAATTGCTGCTTGATTTGCAAAAAAATTATAAGCATAAAAATTACAGAGATGTAATCAAAATGTTCCATGAAACCACAACATATATGACGGCACCTGCACCGTTGTAGATGCGGTGGCGTCGGTCTAGCAAGACAGAATTCTTGTAAACGATACGTGTACCGCACACCTGCGGCATCGCACCTGCGTTACCGCCCGTCCTGCTTGTATAAAACGGACTGAGCGGCCGCCGTTAAGACAGTCTTGGCTCTGACGTGGAACGGTGCGCTTGTTGCGTTATTAGTTAATCCTCGACTCGTTGGATAATTAATTCGTGTAAACGAATTAATTATTATTCCTAACTACAAAGTCAGTCTCTGTACTATACCCATTATACTTCCTACATATATAAAAAAAACTGAAGCAGGAAACAGGGCGGTTAATAGTTACTTATCGTCGTAAAACAGGGTTTATTAGTATGCTTGTGAACATGTCCAGTTCACCCAATTTATACCAATCATTGGTAATAGAGAAGCATTACATTGAATACTTGCCTTTCTATAAAATTTCACAGCATCGTCTGGAACTTTTTTTTCTCCTATTCGTTCAAGAGGTGGATACAATCATAAACCCAATGTCGTACAATTTAAGGCAGTATACATAAAAAAATTAGAGAACATGGCATTGGGAACTGTATTCCTCTTGAACAAATATCAATTTTGAATTGTCCTAGTACAGGTGATCCTGTAAAAAATATTAATAAATTATCGGATCGAAGAAACATATTAATAGAAGAAGACCTTAAATTATCACAGAGTAAGTATTCAGAACAGGTCGTCTTGTACATAGCAGGAGTTACTGCCAGAGAATTATCATAAAGCTTAAAATGTGATTACTGCGTTGGAATGTTACACGGTTCAATAGAACAGTACATATAAAGCCTTATTGAAAAAAAAATCTAAAGGTGGCTTAACATATCCCTCTCCAACTTTAGTGAAAATTGTAAAAAATACTGAGAATATTGTAAATAAAAGGAGACGGCTCATTTCTGCCCCAAGTCGTTTCAAGTTTATGTACTTAATTAGCCCCGGAGACCTAAAAAAGTTATTTAATTAAAATAACATATAATTAAATAATGCAAACTATACATTCGATACTAACGTGCCAAGCGGAGATTGCAAATTGGTGTGATTAAAAAGTACTTTAATGACTGTACTTAAAGTCAGTCATGTTTTTTCTCTTTCTTTTCTTCTGTTCAAGTTTACGTAAAGTGAACGTGCTTGAGTCATTTTGCCTGGATTGCGAAATTGGAGTTTTAGCGCCAACGTGAAAATAACATGTCGCCTCATTGTATTATTATCTTTAACTTGTGTATTTTCGAGTGGTAATATGTAATATAAATGGTGGAATATTTTAAATTATTTGATGTTCGTGAACGTGCTTCTTTGACGATTTTAAGTAAAACTAAAAAATATTTAACCTGGAAAAGCTCGACGAATCAAATTGGATCATTACTTGTCAAAGTTAAGCCGGATTTACATTTGTCTGACGTGTTGTGTTGTGACGCATCAGAATGGTATCGGTTTCATACATTTAGTATGGTGAGATTTATATTTGTGTGTCGCGATCTGTTGTGAGGGCTTCTGATGCGACGCATCAGACGAGATTCCGATCGCATCAGAGGGGTGGAGGTGGGTGGGCGGGGGAGCGGCCGCCTGGCGACGCAGCAGATAAGTGTGTACGCGACAGTATTGCGTTGTGACGCGTCAGAGCCACGTGCGTTTTTTGTTTATCCACTCGATTTAAAGTTTTAGAAAAGAATTTAAAGTATGGACGACTTGATAGAAATAGTACGACAATATAAAGTGATTTATGACACCAAATGTAAAGAATATAGGGACCAATCCATTAGAGCATCTGTTTGGGAGGAGATAGGAGAAAAAATTAAACAACCCCGTAAGTACTATACTGCTTTATTTAATTAAACCGTGTTCTACCTTGTGTAATAGCTTGCATTTGCCATGGAACTTGTCCCTGGGGACTTACAAAATATGTTTTATATGCTTCACGAACTTGAATAGCTTCTTGAGATGGATTTCTATTTAACGGTTCGATGTCTACTAAGCCATTACCGTCGCTCACCTCGCTTTCATCCATCAAAGTTTCTTGTGTTTCCTGTGTGTCTTGGGTCAAAAAGTTATGAAGGCAGCAGGTAGCAAGTACGATCTTGTCCGCCATGTTTGGTTGTACTTGTAAAGGTGCCTGAAACACTCTATATCTAGCTCGTAATATTCCAAATGCATTTTCTACAGTACGGCGAGCACGTGATAAGCGATAATTAAATATTTTATTTGAGTTATTATTAACTAATTTAGCTTTACTATACGGTTTTAATAAATACGTTTTCAGTGGGAATGCCGCGTCTGCCACAATAGTGTAGGGTAAAGGTTCTGTATTTTGGTTTATAGGTTTATTCGGTGGCACATTTAATTGACTGCTTTCAAACATTTTTCCCATTAACGACTCTTGGTAAATGTCACCATCACTATTTCGGCCATACGCTCCTACATCTACCATAATAAATCTATAATGCGCATCAACAAATGCAAGCAGTACAATAGAATGCTCATTTTTATAATTATAAAACCACTTTTTATAATTATAAAAATGACTAATAGAAAATATTTACCAAAGGAAGTGGTACAGACCAAATTGAAGAGAGGAGAAATGGCTGCAAAGCAGAGCAATGAAGGCATAGTTGTTTTGAACTGGCGTGATAAACGCGACGTACGGATGCTTACCACGAAAACGTCTGCTCTTGAAATGGTGCCAAATAATAGCAGAAATACGAACGCAATGCACACTAAACCCAAATGTATAGCTGACTACAATAAAGGTAAATCTTCTATAGATATTAGCGACTTAAAAAAAGCGATTATAAAAAGTGGATCCTGCATTTATTGGACATATTATAGAAATATGTTTTCCATCCAATGCTCCAATACAATTCGGAAAATGCCATACATTTTCGAATCCTTTCGCAATCTCTCTCCACATTTGTTCTGTAGGCTGGGGCATTACAATAGGGGCCAAATTCTTCCAAATTGCGTTACATACTTGTTCTACTATGATCTTTACTGTAGCAAACCCCATACGGTAATTGAAACCCAATGATCGAAAAGAATTTCCAGTTACCATAAATCTGTAATATAAAAACACAGAAAATTTATTTTTGTTTCAGCGGAAAAATGTAAAGATGACTGGAATAAATTACGAAATAGCTACGTCAACGCATTGAAACGCCGTAAAAATAAAAAAAGTGGGCAAGCCGCTCAATTTATCCCGCCATGGAAATATGAAGAACAAATGAGTTTTTTACAACCATTTATGGAATCAAGGTCGACAACAACAAATCTTTCATCACCTCCTGAATCTCTAGAATTTCACTCAGAAAGTACTCAATCAGACAATTCTCGTCCAGCAACACCACATACTGGTAGTTCCTCGCACTCCCAACAGCCTGTTAGAAAACCAAACTTACAGGATCTATATGATATGATGAAGTCTTCGCACGATTTGAGAATCCATAAGCATCATTCAAAGCAGCAGCAGGATAATATGACGGATGAAACAGACTTGTTTTTTCTGAGCATGAGCAAAGCAGTTAAAAAACTTCCGAAACTAGATCAGACCAAAATAAAATTGGATTTGCACACTGCTGTATCACAAGCTGAAATAAGGAAACTTCAGACACAAGCACAAATTCTTAGAACACCAATTAATGTGACTCACCACATAGTTACTCGGCCACAACAACGCTGCCTCTCCAGCTACCCATTCCACCATCCACATCCATGACGACATTTCCAGCAGTCCCAGCTACACCAACTCTCGACAACATCAACTCTCAACAATCGGCCTGAACACTTTATAATTTTGAAGAAGATAACATCTCATCATATTATAGCAATGCAGACTTTTCTGATGATAACTGATTACCTGTCTTTACTAATAACGTTAAAAAAAAAACAAATGAATCCTTACCTTAAACACACAGCAAGTCTTTCTTTTGTCCCTATAGGTTTACGAAACTTCGTATGTATTTTTTTTATGTCCCCTTCAATCAATGAATGAACTTCCTCGAACTGTGCCTTGGACATTCTAAAATACTGATGAAATCTTTGAGCATCGTTCTCAATCTCTTTAACGAGACAGTGAAACTCGCCTTTAGACTCTCTTTTATTATTCACTGGATGAACCCAATATCTTCTTCTCTTTATTTCTTTCTTTTTTATAAGAGTTGCTAGCACCAAAAATTCAATATCTTCTTCATACTCTGAATCAGAGTCGGATGATTCATGGGAAAACATTGTAAACGTATGAACTCTCCGAGAGCTATGACTGTATTGATTCAAAATATCGTCAGAGGCCGTCAGAACACAACATAAAGATGTGAATACTAGCCATCACGTCAGAGCCCGTCACGACACAACACGTCAGGCAAATATAAATCCGCCTTTATAAACAGCTCCAAAACGTATATTATAATAATTAGAAGGGACCCCTTAGAACAATAGATAAAGAGTATTCAGAACTTAGAGTACAAATAAGCAAGGTATAGAGCGCGCATATCGCTCAATGCCTATTATGCCAAGCGTAAAATTGACGCCTATGCGTTATTGTACTTAAGTTATTAATTTGATTATGTAAGTATTTGTAAATATTAGGTAAGCGATAATTATAAGGTATGTTTTAGCTCAATAAAACATAGGTACTAGAGTATAACCTTCTACAACCAGATCAACTCGTTATTTATTAACAATGGATGTATGAAACTTATGAAAAAAAGATGGAAAAATAAAAACAGCGCGTAAAACCTATAAAAAAATAAATAACAATTACCCTTAAAAAATTAGCTCTTACATTAGAAAACACATTGGAATCATTTTTGTAACATACTGGTAATATCGCGCACCAGTATGAAGCAATAGCACAATTTAAAAAAAAATCTGAAAACGATGTACTAATTTATATAGACTAGCGAAAATTACTTCTATAAATACATGGAAGAAATTCAAGCGGTTCAGTTCGGCCGCTGTAGACAACAGGTCACCCTTCATACGGGTGTATTATACTTACGAAAGTGCGTTTTTAAATTCGCGGAATGGGTAGGTAGGTAATAAGTGAGGACGTCGCTGAATTACTTGATCATTGAGCAACTCATTATTAGTATAAATACCGGGTTTTATTGTAATTAGGTCATTAGTCTTTGAGTTATCGTCAACCAAACAAGTCAATTGGGAAGAAATTGTGAAATATGGAGAAAATCGAGTTCCGAGCCGTTATAAAATTCCTTACCAAGCGCGGAAAATCAGTTCAGACTATACTGGAAGATATGTCATTCGTAAAACTATGGTTTACAAGTGGCATACTGTTTTTAAACAAGGCAGAGAATCACTTGAAGACGACCCAAGGCCAGGAAGGCCGATCGGTGTGATGACTTCGGAAATTATTCAAAAAGTCGAAAAATTAATATTAGAAGATGCCCGCATAAAGAAAACAGCTCGCAGAAATGGTTGGTGTCAGATACAACTATTTTCAAAATTATTCATGACTCTCTCGGCATGACTAAAGTCAGCGCAAGATGGGTGCCTAGAATGCTCACGCCGCCTCAAAAGCAAAAGCGCGTGGAGTATTCTCGTGCATTATTGGACCTCTGTATGGAAAACAACGATGGAGTGTTGGCTCGAATTATTACTGGTGAAGAAACTTGGGTTTACCATTATGAACCTGAATCCAAACAGGACTCTATGCAGTGGCACAAAAAGGCACACCACTACCCAAGAAATATAAGGTGGCACAATCGGCTGGGAAAATCATAGCGACAGTATTTTGGGACTCAGAAGGAATCCTATTGATTAATTATAAAGATAAAGGTGTCTCCTTAACCGGAAATTACTACGCTTCAGTCCTAGAACAATTGAAAGAAGCTATAAGGGAGAAAAGAAGGGGAAAATTGACCAAAGGAATCCTTCTTCTGCACAACAACGCGCCTGTTCACAAGTATAATGTTGCGATGGCTGCCCTGCAGAAGGTGGTAGAGCCACGCAGCAGTTTTTGCTGTTGCATGTATGGGCCGGCTCGAGCCGGGTTGGTACCACGACCTCACAGAATACCGGCGTGAAGTAGAAGCTCTGCTTCTGCGTTTCGTCTGGTGAGTGCAGGTGGCCGGAGTCCCAATTCCCCTCCCCCCCCCCCCCCATCAACATGGTAGCGGAATTACACGATGAACTACCCCAGGAGGGTACCAGTACTCCTGGAGAATCCCTCGCTGAGCTCGGGGCAAACTGAGCAAGAACACCAAGGCGACCCCTGCCACGCTATCCGTGAATTTCTGCAACATCAGGGGACTTCACTCTAACCTAAACGCCGTCCACTACCATCTCGAGACGGCGAAGCCGGCCTTGCTCTTTCTGACCGAGACGCAGGTTTCCTCTCCGGCTGATATTTCGTATCTCTCCTACCCGGAGTACAAATTGGAGCATTCCTTTGTGCCTCGGGCTGGAGTTTGCGTGTATGTCAGAGAGGACATCTGTTCTCGACGCCTCGGCAGTCTTGAAGGTTCGGACCTGTCCATCCTTTGGCTACGCGTAGACAGCGACGACCATCCGCGCGTCTACGGGAGCCTCTATAGGTCCCATAGCGGTAATGCCGAAACAGACCGACTCATCGACCACGTCCAAATGGCTACAGATTCCTTGCTACAACAGGTCCCATCCGCAGAGATCGTGATCCTTGGCAATTTTAACGCCCACCATGCCGAATGGCTCGGTTCACGTCTAACCGATCATGCGGGGAGATCTGTTTATGACTTTGCCTTGGCATATGGTCTGACACAACTGGTTACTTCGCCTACGCGGATTCCAGATGTGGAGCATCATACACCTTCCCTGTTGGACCTTCTGCTGACCTCTCATCCGGACGGATATCAGGTTTCCGTCGATGCCCCTCTCGGCTCTTCGGACCATTGTCTGATCCGGAGTGTGGTGCCACTCACGCTCCCTTCGCGGTTGCGTTCTGCAGGTTGCCGCCGTGTTTGGCATTACAGGTCGGCGGATTGGGACGGAATGCGGTCTTTCTTTGCATCCTACCCATGGGGGCGAGTTTGCTTCTCGCCGGACGATCCCAGCGCTGTTGCTGACTCTGTCACTGATGTGGTGCTACAGGGAATGGAACTATTTATTCCATCATCTGTGATACCCATCGGAGGCAGATCTCAGCGTTGGTTTGGTCGCTCCTGTAAGACTGCATTACGCAGTAAGCAGGAGTGTTATCAAGCCTGGGCTGCGGCTTCGGCGACTCGGGATGTAAACACCAGCACACTTAAAAAGAAGTATAACTTCGCCTCCAGGTCCTTCAAAAGAGTTATTGCCAAGGCAAAGTCAGAGCACATAGGCAGAATTGGCGAGAAACTAGTTCGCCTTCCTTCGGGAACCCGTGCATTCTGGTCTCTCGCCAAGGCTGTCCAAGGGAATTTCAGTAAGCCATCACTACCATCTCTGCACAGGGAGGATGACTCACTGGCCCATGACGCAAAAGACAAAGCCGACCTTTTAGGCTCCCTTTTTGCGTCCAACTCGACTCTTGATGACGGGGGGAAAACACCGCCGACCATCCCGCGGTGTGAGTGCTCCATGCCGGATGTGCTGTTCTCACAGCGCTCGGTTCGCAAAGCACTGCTCTCCCTGGACATCCAGAAGTCGGGTGGGTCTGACGGAATCCCCCCAATTGTGCTGAGGACGTGTGCTCCGGAGTTGGCACCGGTCCTAACGCGTTTTTTCCGGTACTCCTACTCCCAAGGCGTAGTCCCGAATTCATGGAAGACAGCTTTTGTCCACCCGATCCCTAAAAAAGGCGACCGCTCAGACCCATCCAACTATAGGCCTATCGCGATCACCTCCTTGTTCTCCAAAATAATGGAATCCATTATTAACTGCCAGCTCATCCTTGAGGATCCTTGAGGATCACCAGCTGATTAGTGACCGCCAATACGGTTTTCGTCGGGGTCGATCAGCTGGTGATCTTCTGGTCTACCTGACCCATAGATGGGCGGAGGCAGTAGAGTCCAAGGGGGAGGCGTTGGCCGTTAGTCTGGACATTGCGAAGGCCTTCGATCGGGTTTGGCACAAAGCGCTTCTTTCGAAGCTCCCTTCCTATGGGCTTCCCGAGAAATTGTGCAATTGGATCACCAGCTTTCTTGCAGATCGGAGCATCAAGGACGTTGTAGACGGTGCATGCTCTGACTACAAGCCTATTAACGTTGGTGTTCCACAAGGCTGTGTGCTATCACACCTTATATACCGGCCGTGCCAATATTTCTCGGGAAAACGTCGCTGAGTACCGGAACAAACTTGTGTCTGAAGTCGAGTCTTTGCTGAGCAAAGTCTCGGATTGGGGGCGACTAAATCTAGTCCAGTTTAATCCTCAGAAGACACAAGTTTGCGCGTTTACCGCTAAAAAGAACCCCTTTGTCGTATCTCCTCAGTTTCAAGGCACTCCCTTTCTTGCCTCAGCCAGTATCGGTATCCTCGGAGTCGACATATCGAGTGACGTGCAGTTTCGTGGTCACTTGGAAGGGAAGGCCAAATTGGCCTCTAAAAAGCTTGGCGTGCTCAGCAGAGCGGGACAGTATTTTATGCCGGCACACCGCCTGCAACTTTACAAGGCGCAAGTTCGGCCTCACATGGAATACTGTTCCCATCTCTGGGCAGGGGCTCCCCAGTGCCAGCTCCTTCCACTTGACCGCATCCAACGCAGGGCTGCGCGAATCGTCGACGACCGAGCCCTTTCCGATCGGC